GGGCTGGTGGGCAGTGGGCCGGTTCTGGTGGGCTGGCGCTCAGCGCTCAGCGGCTCAGCGGTTTCTCGGTACTTCGGTTCGGTGTGGCATAGAAACCGAAGCCGAAGCCGAACACCGAACTTCACAGAACTGGAAACCGAAACCGAACCAAAAAATGAACTACCGACTATTCGGTTATGTGTTTCGGTTTTCGGTGAAAAAGCGCCCAGGGTGACCTATCGATGGCCCGTGAAACCGAGGTGGTGGAGATCCCCTCCGACGACGAAGCAGATGATGAGGTGGAGCCGCCGGTGCTGTCACGGGAGCTAGCGGTGGTCTGATCGGAGGCTAGGCCCTCCAGCGGGCTAGAGGAGACCGACCTAGTGTGGCCCAGCCCCGAGGACCCAATCTTGCCAAGCTCTGGGACATCCTTGGGGGGAGAGGATTCACCATGGAGTCCGATCTTGCCAAGCTGTCGGTGAAGCTTGAGGAAGCCTAGGAGCGGGTTGAGTCCGTCCAGCGGTTGGTCAAGGTCGACCTGCGCCGCGTCGTGGCTGTGAGTTTCCCGCGCTTGTCCTTGACCTCTTGGTCTTTTGTCGGTTGCCTCAGCATGCTTGCTTCTCTTTTTATAGGGTCTTGAGGAAATGTTGAGCCGCAAGTCCTATTTCCTGATGGAGCACGCTCGGATGGCCGAGTTTGAGCGCCAGCTGGAGTCCGCCCGCCTCGAGTCCTAGGACCGGGCGGCGGAGGCGACCGAGGCACGTGCAGCGGAAGTGCTTGCAGCGGAACGGGCGACTGCCACCGAGCGGGTTTGTCTAGTATGGGAGTTGATGGCGCCTACAATACCGTAGGGCAAATGTCGGCACCCACAACACTGCTTAGGCTCTGATATGTCAGGAAGGTTGCAAGGTACCCTTCTAACATGCCCTGTTGGTACTGTTCTGCAGGTGTACAGGGTACGTCTCTCGGTATTGCGGTTGACTTGGGTGCCCTGCCTTGCTTTTTCTGTCCGTTCCCTGGTCCTCACCGAGCGGGCGTCCCCGGTCGGTTGGTCCCAGTTGGCTCTGATTGCGCCAGTCGAAGAAGAGCTATAAGCAGGGGTTCGGCGCGTCCCCGGTCGGAGACTCAGGTCAGAGTCAGAAGTGGTGTTTGGCCAGGCCTTCCGGTTGAAGAGGCCGTCCGGAGGTGGGCCGGTGTCGGAAGCGAGCGCTATTCCTCTTTTCTAAGGCCTTCCGGTCGGAGAGGTGGGCTAGAGTCGGAAGCGGGCGCCGTTCCTCCTCAGCCAGGCCTTCCGGTCGGAGAGGCGGGCCGGAGTCGGAAGCGGGCGCCGTTCCTCCTCGGCCAGGCCTTCCGGTCGGAGATTGGATTGTCCATCTGGCCTGTCGTTTAGGTGTTTGGGCCGGCCCATGAGTTGCGTGTTGTTTGCAACGTTGTCTGCTGGGCCGAGCTTTTGTTGGGAAGCCTATCCATGAGGGACCCTGGGTTTATGAACCCGACACTTCTACTACTCAATTCTTTCTCTTTCATCAGAGCAACATTATGATTAATCATAACCTCATTCGAACCTAATTTGATATCAACACACAATGCTTTATCAATCAAAGAAGAATTACTCTCAAGAGTAATAGAAGAGGAAGAATATGGTTTAGTACCTTGGCACATGTTTACATAATTCTTGTACTCTTGAGCTTTCTGTATAACCGTCTTTCCATCTTTAGGATACCTTCTATGTCTTGGCATCCTCAGAGTAGGACCCCAGTGTGTTTTTCTTTTTGGCATTTTCTAATCTTGTTGTTCCTCATAAAGATCAGCCAATTCCTGGATAGAACTATCCCCCAAATCAACATCCTCCAGAGAGGCCATTTCCTGATCATGTTCTTCTATTTCCTCATCTGAGTCCTGCAGTTCCATCTTGTGTAACAGTTGAGAGCATTCCTCATGAGAACTTCCTTCCTTAGCCATCCTCCTAAATTGTTCCCACTTTGAGTGCTGGGACTCTTCTTCCAACAAGCTCTGCCTCTTGTTACCAACAATTTTACAATCTGAATTATCCTTTGAAAAGGTAGGCTCAGGTGTAATGCATACTGCCACATCAAAGATTGAACTAGAGCTCTCATTGGTTCCAGAAATAGGTAAATCATGTTCCATAGTAAGTTGTTCTCCCTCAGAGTTAGGTAGGACTACTGAAGTAGTCACTCCTTGTTCCTTTAATACACTTAGAACAATTGCCTTCCCATCCAATTGACCTCAGAACTTAAGTTCTGGTTCACCATGGGGAATAGTTTTAGATCCCAACTCCACATCAATGTAGGTTGGGCTTTTTTGCTCCTCAAGTCCCTCATCTGTCAACAACTTAGACTCTGGTTTCTTCATCAGGAGAATAAGTTGAGCCTCTTGATCCAACCTCTCACAGTCAGACAAACCAGTAGCCACTATTTTGTACCCAGTGCTTGTCATTTGTTTGCTAGCCGGTGTCTTCAAATTGGAGTTCTCACCCATTTGAACATCCTTAGACTTGTTCTTGGTTAAGTCTTCATCATCATCCAAGTCATCAGCCTCATCATCATTGTCTGGATTGTCATCATCCCCACCATTTCCTCCATCACCGGGACCTTTCTCAGTCGTGTCCTCCTCCTTATAAGTCTCCACAGTAAAGGAAACCACATGTAATTTCCTATTCATCTCAAAAAGCCTCAGTAATGGAATCTTCTTAGCATCTTTGCAGGACACTTTGACCCTAACCACTTCATAGAAGCTCTTGAACAAGGTAGCCCAGTCTACCTCAATCATCAAACCAAAACCAGAGGCAATCTGTGCAAAAACTTTCCAGTGACACCATCTTGGAGGGATTCCTTTCATCTGTACCCAAACATCCTACAGAACACCATAAGGTTCGATGTCCCCAAACCATTCTAAGATCTCCACTTGTACACCCTCCTTCCTTAGATTAAAGGATGGGTAATTCTTGATGTCTACAACCCTCTTATGTGGGGGAAATCTCACCAAGAACTTTCCACTTTCCAATTCCCTAATCTGCCAGGGCCACTCCTTGCAATAAATTTCAGACAACTCTCCCTCTAGCTCTGACAGAGAAATTGATCCAGACTTGATCTTAACCACACCACAATTGGTGAGATTCAACCACTGAGTTGATTCTACACTAGGCACCTCAAGGTGGTAGAACCCTAATCCCTGACTAGCACTGCCAACAAAAGCTGCAATTGGGTGATCTTGCTTCCAAACAGGGCAGTCATTCATATGGTGACCCGCAATGGCACAGATAAAGCAGATCTTAGGCTTGGTACAATTCCCAATAAAATGCCTAGGCTCCCCACAATTGTAGCATGTTAATTTCCTATACCTAGGGTCAATCACGAAAGGAGGAATCTTAGAATTCTCCATACCTTGCCCCATCCCTTGCTGAGCTCCCCTTCTGACAGGAGGCGGCTGCTGACGGGGTGGTGGGGGAGGTTGCTGGCGAGGAGGCTGCTGCGGCCTCGGCGGTGGAGGTGGGCGGGGCGCTCCCTGAGGATGGGGCCCTTGACGCTGCACCTGCTCCTGCCAACCAGCCTGCTGAATCTGCTGATGGGGTGGAAACCTTGGTTGGTTTGGAGGGGGTGGCCTCTGGGGATGCTACGGCGGACATTGCGGTTCCTGCCACACCGATCTCCTACCTTCGGCCATCGGCGTCTTGAGGGCTTCGATGTAGATCTGCTTCCCAACCTCGGCCCCCCAGATGTCCTTTGCGAAGTTGATGCTCACCGGCTGCTTGCCCAATCGATCCGATCTACGAGTAGGGTGGAGATCCAGAGAGGACATTGGACATTTACCAAATAGAAAGAATTAGACGTTTTTTTTTCAATTGCGATGAGAGAATAGACATGCAAATTTAAGGTAAGAGACGAGGACTTGAAGCTTATGGTTGGTTTTGGTTGGGTGTGTACGTATGGCCACGTCTTACTGTAATCCACGTAGGCCGTCGTCCTCGACTGGCTGAGACCACCATTTTATAATCTCGCCCCCACGCAGCAGCTAGCTTCGGACAACCCTCAGTACAAATTTTGCAGCATCCCTAGATGTTCCAACTATATATTTACCGAGCAAATCATTTGTAAATAGTATAAACACAGTGCCAAAGTACTAGTAAGTACCACAGAAGCTTGCGACCACGTGCAGCAGCACGAGTAGCAGTACTGTGTGCTCAACGCCTCTAAAGAAAAATCAGATTTTTTTTTTTTTTGGCAATCAATAACTCAACTCTACTCCACTGCTGAAAACGATGCTTCGATCGATCGGTTTCCGGCAGGAAGCTTATGATTTCTCTACTGATTTCTCTGCTGAAAAATGCAAATATATTGACATTTCATTCAAGCGAGAATACTAGTACGAATCGTGCTTGTAAACAATTTGTGATTACAGAAATAAACAAGATTCTGCTTGCTATTATTGTAGACTAATCTAATGAATCGGGTTCAGAGATCGATGCCCCTGCTGCATCTGCATGCAACTATGCAGATCCAGGCGGTGGAGCCACACAGGCGCAGATATAGAAAACACACACATAGTACAGACAAATCCAGAGGCCGCAATAATACAAGTACAGAAACCAACACTTGGTTGCTCCTCCTCCTCCATGCTCGCAGCAGCCCGGCCATGAATCCGCCATCTCCTTCGTTTCAGCAGCCTCCATACCACCATACCCCAGCACGTCTTCCTCGCACATTATAACTATCGCTTTCTCCCTCCGGTCTGCATGCCCCCCTTCCGGCTCACCCCGATTGCTTCCGCCCATCCTCCGATCCATCACTCGCAGGCCGCAGCCCGGCCGGCCATCTCCTCATTATATATAGCAGCAGCTCACTCTGCTCCATCTGCAACTGCCACTGACCACCTGCCTTAAAGCAAAGCTGTTGTCTACTCCCCGAGCTCTCTCGCTCTTCTAGCTACTTCGTTTCACCTGCAAGCACTGCTATCTAGCTCCGATCCACATATATATAATCAGATTGCAGCAAGCAAACAACATGTCCAGCAGCCGGAGGTCATCACGCACACGGCGTGCGGGGAGCTCGCTGTCGTCGTCGACGTCGAGGTCCATCTCGGAGGACCAGATCTCCGAGCTCCTGTCCAAGCTTCAGGCGCTGCTCCCGGAGTCTCAAACTCGCAATGGCGCACATAGGGTAAGCACTACTCAGCGCTCTGATGTACTAGTGCAGCCGCCAAATTGTTTGCTCATCGTCGTATATATAGGCATATCTACTTATATAAGTAGCTAGCAAGCTCACAAGAACAAGGAAGAATGCAGGGCTCGGCGGCGAGGGTGCTGCAGGACACGTGCAGCTACATCAGGAGCCTGCACCAGGAGGTGGACAACCTCAGCGAGACGCTCGCCGAGCTGCTCGCCTCCGCCGATGTCACCAGCGACCAGGCCGCCGTCATCCGGAGCCTGCTCATGTGACCACCGTCATACCGGCCGGAAAAGGCAAGCAAGCTCCCGGTGAGAGCGCATGCATGCGTGCACGGCCGTTAGATCTCAGTCTCAGGCATGCTGCTGCCTCCTGCCTAGCTACTAGCTATACCGTACTTTTGCAACTGCTCATTAGCTGCCCTGCCGCTGTCTAGCTATACTAAACTACTACTAGTACTGTGCTCAAGGATATTAGTAGAGCTGGTGATGAACTATATGCTTAGTCGTGAGCAATTCTTGTACTTTGATGTAAGCTTGCATTGTGTGGTCATCATCGTCTCTGCTTTGCGATCGGTCGTTTGGCTGTTAATCCAATAAGTTGGATGTGAGAGGTTTTACATGCAAATAATGGTGGGAAATGCATGGACAGACAAGCATCAGGTTTCAATTATCTGAAAGATACTGCTACTACTACAACAAGTAGACTACTAGAGGATCATGTTGATGATGTACTTTGAGATGGATAATTGGCTTTGTTTAATGAAGTGGCGCTTTTACTTAAGTTTGCTAGCTACTAGTAGTAAGTACATACTTAACTCTCTAAGATGCATGATGGGTTGTTTTCTTGATGGTCCGCACACAATAACAATCATTGCAACTCTTGGACGTGCTTGTTGTGTCCTGCGTTTTATCTAACTTTGGAGTTTACAGGCCAGGGAGATTGGTGCCTTGTCCTCGTTTAACTAATTTGGACGTACTCATGAAAACGAAGTTTTCCAAGTGAATGGATGTTTTCTTCTTTATATAAAACATACTGCTACTGTGTGCAATTGTGACTCTACCATCAAGTCCAATTTCCGGAGTCCATTTCGGTACGATTCCTCCCCATGGCTCCATGCATATACGTGCATGAAGATTGAAAACAACCATGTCCTTTTATTTTCATCAGTACTAATATTAGTTCATATTCTAAAACCTATTGCGAAACCAATGTACCAGTAGGGAAAAATTAGTTTCTCCGCGTGTGTTGTTGGTGGTGTTGTGTGGTAAGTGTGTGTTCTCTGTTGCATCCTTTTGAGCGGTAATTTATATTACCACTCAATTGCAATATATTCAGGTGAGGAATTCTTTTCCCCCTGTTGACCCATAAAAAAAAGGAAAAAATAAGTAAACATTAGTGGTCCAATAATCTACCCCCTAATGAACTTTTGTAAATTTTAGTTTTTCATTATTATACAAATCTGAATAGTCTTTGCTCAATTTTTTTAGTTTAATACCAGATTGAGTTCAAATTTAGTTTTATACACTGCTGAGCTCAAACTTTTAGTTTAAGTTACTCAATTTTTAGTTTTTGTAATTGGAAAATGTGGAGTATCATATATGTATTTTTAGTTTTGAGCACATTAGTTTTTCAATTATGGTAATAAAACTATTAAGCAGGGAAATATAATTTGGACTCAACTCAATCGACTACATACGTCGTACGTCCTCCAAATGATGCAGATGTGGATGCATGGACCATGCATGCATACATAATCATGTTATCTAAGTGGGGCGACAGGAGGCAGGAAATCAAAGATACACCGTACGGCCATGACTACAACCGTGCAACTAATTTTCGCAACTGTACCTAATCGGCGGCCAAATTAAGCCCTACTTTGCCTGATTAGTGCCATGCGGCAAAAGTTGCAGAAGAACAGGACATTCACTGGTGTTTGATCTTGAAATGAATAAAAGCTTCACTGTAGTTTGATGAACTCACTCTTTGCAGCGTGCTGTATCAGGCTTGTGGCTAACCGGACGGACACAGCGTCTGTTTTTTAAAGGCACTTACTGTAGGTTGACAATAACAAGAAACACGAAGGAGAAAAGGCAACACTAACTGGAGGCTAACCTCTGTTAGCTAAGACAGTAGTACCAGTCAATACATAGGAGTATATCTTATCACAGATGTACAAAGGTCAACTCAGGACTAATTTTCATCGATCGTTTTGAATTTGGACCATCAATATATTTATATAGGCATATAGATTTACATAAGACTGATGTTATCTAATATATATCTTTCACCATGTGAAACAACCTAATATCGCTATATATAGATGTTACTGGTGAAGGGCGGGCCTAGCTGGTGCAAACGGTAGAGTCTTACCGCCTGTGACTAAAGGTCCCGGATTCGAGTCGTGGTCTCCTCGCATTACATAGGCGAGGGTAAGTCTTGCCACTGACACCCTTCCCCAGACCCCGCACAGAGAGGGAGCTCTCTGCACTGGGTACGCCCTTTTTTTATAGATGTTACTGGTCAAAATATGATGTTGCAGATTGTGTTACCACCTCCATTCTACTCCCTTCATCCCAAATTATAAGTCACTCCAACTTTGTTCAAGTTTGACCAAATTTATATAATAAATAATAAAATTCATGATACCAAATAAGTTTTATTAGATTCTCCATTAGTTTTATTTTCATAATATACGTATTTGATGTCATAAATATTTGAATTTCTCTCTATAATTTTGGTCAAACATTAGATGCTTTGACTCTCAAAAAAATTTAAAATGACTTATAATTTGAGATTGATGGAGTATATTATAAGGGATATGAGTTTATCCTAATTAAGTCAAAACACCCTAAGTTTGACAAAGTCTTCTAGAGAAGAGTACTAGCATTTATGAAATCACAGAGGTAATTTTTAAAAAATATATATATAATATATTTAAATGATGTTTGATATCATAAATAATACTTTTACTATTTTTTTATGAACGAACTGACACATATAGTGTATGTTTATATGAATAAATTTAATCAAACTTAGCCCTTGTTTAGTTCCCAAAATTTGGATTTTGGGGCTACTGTAGCACCTTCGTTTTTATTTGGCAAATAATGTCCAAACATTGACTAATTAGGCTTAAAACGTTCGTCTCGCAATTTCCCATCAAACTGTGTAATTAGTTTTTCTTTTGCTTCACATTTAATCGCTGGCTCTGCTCAAACATTCATGTGGCATGTGCGATCAGAAGAACTTTTTTAAACACGGCGTTAGATAGTTTGACATAGCTAATAAAAGGTGCTCGTAGCACACGGCTGTTCTGAATTTTCGCTGGCTCTGCTCCTGTTCCGCAGGGAAGTCAAAAAAGCCTTTGCGCTCTTGGTGACAGACAGACAGACAGACTCGGGACGACAAGAGAGGGTGCAGCTGCAGGCAGAGACGACACGAATTCCGTGTGTGCACAAGCATGTGTACCGTGTTGGGCCACGAGATCCCCCTGGGGCCTGGGCCTTCTTAACCCGCCCGATCTCGCTGTCTCCCTGGACTTGTCCCGATTCGGTCCACACAATGCAATCTAGCTCAAGCTCGGCTGATCTATCCGGCCTCCGGGGCCTCCACGGCACGCACGCAGATCGCGCAACTAACTCGGAGACCGCGAGCGGCGGCGGCCTTCCCGGCCGGCCGAGCGCCAGCCACGCGACGCCTGATGAGCTCGAACGTGTCGGCCGGCAAGTTTTTCAACTTACGTACTAGATCTCTATGGGCCTATGGCTGACTTGGCTGCAGCAGGCCTAGCAGGGCAGCTAGCTAGTAAAAATGCTATTAGGTGACGAGCAATGGTAAGTAAGCTGGTTAGGAGCGTAAAAATGCTATTAGGTGACCGTACACGATCCTGGATTGTATGTAGGGGCTACATGTGATGGGTGGATGTACGACTAATGCACGTACGTGAACGACAGGCCACCAAACCAAACATTAGACAACCGAGTTCGTTGGTTGGATCATTGGATGCATACTATTTTAGTCTTAAGGCAGGTACTTGTATCCGGCAAAGAGCATCATATCTTTGGCACATACGTAATTGTGGTACCTATCTAGCGCGAGAGAGTGTACGTCTGTACGTTGCCTCCTGCACTCTTTTGGCACGATTACATTACCCTACGTACCTGCATGTACATGTAGTACTCTGGTCCCACTCCCACGAAATCTAGTTATGAACCAAGTCAAACTTTTTTAAAATTTAACTAGATTTATAGATAAATATTTGTTAACATCTAGTATGACTCTAAATAAATATATATGGTTCATGATGAATCTAATATCTAATTGTAACTGTTTAGTATCATAAATATTACTTGCTATTTTTTTATAAAGTTGGTCGAAGAAATTGACTTGGTATAAAGTTAGAATTACTCTATTCGTCTCAAAATAGATGATAAATTTCGGGAATGCTTATTCCCGAGCGCGCACGTGCTCGAGCAACCGTCTACGGAGTTCCGGCAAGACGCTACCGCCCGCGGCGGGGCGGTGGGAGGTGGTGGAGGAAGGGACCTCGCGCCGGATCTGGAGGGGGTTGAGGGCGGCGGCGTTGGAGTCCAGGCGGGGTGAGGATGAGGAGGGAGCGGGGAAGCACGGGAACTAGAAGAAGAAGGTGCGTGCGAGGCGAGGAAGAGAATAAGGTGAGGAGGTGTGCGGGTGGAAAGAAAGAGGCATGCACATGAGTAGTATAGTACTGCCCTTTAAATTGTCCATGAACAAATTGATCTTTTCATTTCTCATTATATATTTCGCTTCTCACAATACACGTTTTCCCCAATACATCACTATCTCTCTCATTCTTATTTTTTATGCATCCATCATAATTTTTTATTATCCCTAAATTTTCGTGTCCAAACCTAAAACATTTTTGGGACAGAGGGAGGCCGGGTAGTACCAGCCTAGGCGGCTAGGCGTAGATGCACGTCATCCGTACTGACGAAACGACTGAGGCTTCATCTAGCTATGCATCCTATGATCAAGGTCATCAAGCAACAATTTAGGCTTTACATAAATGGCCTGTCTTCAGCTCAGCAGTCATTCCATAATCCTGTCAATCGGGTGGCCCGTCTCGATCTCTCTGCCCTTTTTAAAGAACTGTGCGCGCTCCCGTGACTACTGCGCGCGTGGTCTGCATGCATGCAATGCAATGCATATGCATGGCAATGGCCCCCGGCCCGGTCCTCGACCACACAAGCGCTTGTTACCAGCTTATTACGTGCATCGTTCGTTTGCAGTTACG